ACAATGTCCTGAACTACGTCACAGTTGTCAGTTCATCTAAAAGCTATTTTTAATTTATGTCATACTTTTACAAAATAATGCATATTTATTATTGAAACTGCTTTGTTTAGCAATGCTACCCCAACGATACAGACGGTATCACCGGATCAAAGCCAAATGAGTCAAGCAAAGCCAGCGGGGGTACGAACTAACCTTCCCCCTTACAAAACTCACGATTTTTCTTTGGATGTAGGCACTAGGATTGCGAAATCGTTAAACATACTGTACGCCCATGGGACAAACATTGTTCAAGAATACGATTCTCAGAACCGTTGCACTTTCCAACATTTTCTATCAGCACACACCACTGATGTTCCGTATGTCACAATGCTCCCAGTAATCACGGCGCCGCGATCTGCTATCAGCTAAGAAAATTCTACTGTCAGTTGTTATCTTATTTCTTGCATAATGCTACCATTCTGCCTTCCGAGGTTAAGCTCTACCTCCATCTGCATCTGCATTGCATAAGGCTACCATTCTGCCTTCCGAGACTAAATGTTGTCTCCAGCTGCATCTGCATTGCATAAGCCTACTATTGTGCCTTCCAATTTGCACAAGGCCACTATTCTGCCTTCCGATTTGCATAAGGCTACTATTTTGCCTTTCGAGGTTAAGCTCTACCTCCATCTGCATCTGCATTGCATAAGGCTACTATTCCGCCTTCCGATTTGCATAAGGCTACTATTGTGCCTTCCGAGGTTAAGCTCTACCTCCATCTGCATCTGCATTGCATAAGGCTACTATTCTGCCTTCCAATTTGCATAAGGCTACTATTCTGCCTTCCGATGTTAAGATCTACCTCCATCTGCATCTGCATTGCATAAGGCCACTATTTTGTCTTCCAATTTGCATAAGGATATCATTTTGCCTTCCGAGGTTACGCTCTATCTCCATCTGCATTCGCATCTTTACATAAGGCTATCTCCTGCCTTTCGAGGCTAATCTCTGCCTCCATTTTTCTTCGAAACTAAGCACTATCCCAAGCACTATTTATCTCGCTTCTCTTATGGGCTAAGCTCTGCCCTTCAAATTGCAAGACTGAGCTCTGTCTTGTCCGCATCATACTACTGCATCCTTCATCGGTTGAAATATCGCCAACTCATCCAAAGGCGTCATCGTTCGGAGGCACCATCTTCATAGCCCGAGAACACCATGTCATGGCCTGAGGATCTCTTTCAATCTTTTGCATATCATTACTCAAAGGCGCCATGGTTGGGAGGTGATCGTTGCCGACTCGACGCTACACTGAGGTAGGAAGAGGGGGTCGCAATAGCTTTTACCCGAATAGTGGTTCGGGATCGAATTTCCCAGGGATCTAGTAGTGGAGTTGTATTGTCTGTCTAGTCTAGAGATGTGTTTGTACTTCTAATGTCACTTCAAACATTTTTGGTTTTCTTTGATTTTTTTATCTGCTATTATAAAACTAATGATTAAAACCAAATTATGCTACGAGAATATTGCTAAGTTGTATCTAATGGGAAGAAAGGCACTATGGTCGTGGCATTGCCTAGGTGGCTAATTAACGGGTAGATGTTACTAAGGATAGATTGACATATTTGGGGCTTATGCTATAACCGTTGCACAATTGTACCCACTCTCACACCTCTCGGTAGAGAGAGTGATTTTGCCCAATTGACTCTCTCGAGACCAATTGGGTAGGCCAATTAGACCAAGCAACTAGGTTTCAAGTAGGGTAATTACTCTCTCGAGATTTAACCCGTTAATTGGGACTACCATTTCTCATGGGTCCATCCCAATTCCTTGTTGGGTCAATTTTGGGGTCATGGACTCTCTTTCTCAAGAAGAGTTAAACTCACAAAGCTAGAATCGGTGTTTGCAACCACCAATCCTTAATTAAAACATAAAATCAACCCAAATAACAAACACCCAATATAAATCTAACCTTAGATGGAAACACCCATCAATTACCCACACTAGGGTTGAGCCACAACCATAGCTAATGGGTTTAGCTACTCATGCTAGATACAGAAATTGAAGAAATAGATGAAGAACTAAGCATATTAATTAATTGCTAAGAAGAAACTACAATAATAAAGAGCAAAAGTGCCAAAATTGGCTACAATATCGAGTCTCACGAGCTCAGCTGCATTCAGAATCTAAAATTAACCTAAAAATGGTAAAAGGTCCTATTTATACTAGGCTGGAAAAATTGGACAAAAATACCCCTGCGGGGTCAGTGCAGACCGTGCAAACAGGACCGCGGCCGCACTGGCTCTTGAACTCCTGGTTTCTGCTTCTCTGAAGTTGAGGACCGCGTGAAAATGTAGCGCGGCCGCGGTGGAAGCTGGCGCGGCCGCACTGAAACGAGCGCGGGCCGCATTGCTTGGAATTGGCAAAATTGTGGCTCTCTGAATCTCTGCTCCGCGGACCGCATAAAAGAGTAGCGTGGCCGCGGAGCCTGACCGCGGACCGCGAGAATCCAGCCGCGGCCGCATTGCCTTCAGCTTGAAACTGCCATCCTCTGAATCTCCTAGTGCGGCCGCATTCACATTTGCGCAGTCCGCACTAGGTTCTCTCTTCCTTAGCTTACTTAGTCTTTGATACTTGAGCAGGTTTCACTCCTTTTTGAGCCGATCTTTGACATTTAGTCACTTTGTCGACCAAACCTGCAATCAAGCACAACCTGTGAGCATTTCGGGGCTATTTTGTAGCAATTTATACTTAAAGCATAGGCAAGTAGGGGCATAAAACACGTTAAAATACTAACTTATCAACTCCCCCAAACTTAAGCCTTTGCTTGTCCTCAATCAAACAAAATAAGGCCCGCTCCTTAAAGGAAAATCCAAGTAATTCCAGTTATCCTAAAGCAACCTCAACAAGCATCAATTGGGACAAACAATTGCCCTCAATACGAATGCATCATTAACACATTTAAACTTTGAAAACCCATGGATCAAGTGTGACACAAGAGCATCAAGAGTTGACACATTTCATCAAAGAGCTTCTCTCAATTACTTTGGTCATTGTGGAACCCAAACTCACACATCCTCAACTCTCCCTAAGCGAACCTCACCTTTTAGAGTATTAACACACAAATCAAGGTTGATGGAGTTTCACTCATCTCTCTCAAGAAGAAGGTCACAAGTCCGGCTCTAGGTACCATATGCTTGCCCCTTATGTAAGTATCCACTAATGTAGGTTTCCTTCAACACAAGATCCTATAGGGCTTTTGTGGAGTCATTATGAAGGCTTTTGGGTAAGGGTAGGACATGTTTTTATTCAAGTGGGTTCAATCTTCCCTTAAGCACTTCTTTTGATTCATTTTGGCATAACTCTCTTGACTCTTTTGAGTATTTCACTTATTTACAATGGGTTAGAGAGACACATTGTCACTCTTTCTTATGAAATTCAAAACGTTTCTCCTTTTTCTACTTTTTCCACACCTTTTTCACTTTTGTTTTCCTTGAATCCCTTTTTATTCTTGTTCTCTTTGGACTTTCTTTTTTTGTCTTTTTCTTTTCTTGCTTTTTCATTGCCTTCCTTTTTTTTCTTTTGCTTTTGTACCTTTCTACCACTTTGTTTTCTTTCTTGTCTCTCCCCCCAAACTTAGACATTTGGCATTACTCAAGGAAAATTTGGTTGCAAGAGAGGGTGATCATAGAACGAGTATAGGCTTGTAGCATTGGTTCTTGAAAGAAAAAGGTTTAAGGCTCAAAAGGGTTAACTAGGGATCATCTCTTTGGTAGGCTATGGAATTGTTCAACTTAACATTTGGATCAAGGAGAGCCTATAATCACTTCTCAAGTCAAATTTCACCTAGGATTTTGCCTCAACAAACATTCAGGGCAAGTTCTAGACCATTGGCTTGGGCCTTGGACTCACAATTCGATTCCTCACCACACACGCTAGGGGATTGCTAAAGACATCGAGTCGAGGGCCCACAACGACCTTAGTTACGATTCAAGCTCACAATGTTCCGAAAAGACCATATGATGATTGTTTGGTCAACGCAAGAGTCTCAAAGCCATGACTTTCACCATCCTAAACACAACATTATGTCTTTGACCATGGGATCAGAGGCAAATGTGTTAGGCCCAAGTGAAGCTTTGCTTGAGGTACCCTTAACTACAATTATCAAAAACAAAAGAAAAATCAAAGAAACGGACTCAAACCCTTAAGAAGGTTGTCCCTCCATCCATCATCGGGAAGAGCCACCTGGTTCACACAAAACTCCACCCTTGGAAAGAACCGTGGCCTTAAGAAAACCAAGGGCTTATTGGAAGCGTCAAAAACAAAACAAGAGGCTACGAGCCTAACTATAAAGCTAAAAAATGAAATATTTTTGCGAAAATAGAAAATAGAATGAATATTTACAATAGGGAATTAGAATATACAAACGGGGGATGAATATATACAAAATGTAACTTAACTTTATATACAGACCAAAATAGAAGATAAAAAGTACTGAATGTAAAGTTATATACATAGCAAATAGAAAATCAACCAAAAGGAACAAAAACTGAGTCAAATATATACAGTCATCCAGATAATCAACAAAAAAGTAGGGCGCACCACCACGAATAAAAGCTGGCATTGTCCTCAATGCCAACTATCAAATTAAGCATCAAAATAGTCATAAGAAAGGATATAGGGGCTCCCTAAGCCAGGTCCGTCTGCATGGGATCATCAGTGGTCCCCAAGTCCTCCGTATGTGCGGGAGCCTCAGACTGGCTCCCGGCCTCCTGCTGCTCAACTGCTGGGACTGGAGCCTGTTCCTGGACTGGCTGGATGACAGGTGCATCCTGAGGCAAAGTGGAGGAGGCCTCCTGTGGGACTACCACCTTAATAACTGCATCCGCTATGCTGGGTAGCTTCCTCTTCTTCCTAGGTTGCCTGGGTACTTGATCCTGCTGTGGCTGTGGCACTGGTGCTGCTGCTGGAGGGGCTGGATCCCCAAATAACAAGTCTAAAGGCATCTGGTCTGCCAATAGCTTGTTCACATCTTTCCGCAGCTCTTTCACGGACTCTTTGGAAGCCCTTGACCTCCTCATCTTCCTGTGCTCCTTGGCAAGCTCCTTCAGAGCCCTGCCATGTGACTCCACAGCTGTAGTCAAAGTAGCCTGTGTCTTCATAATCCTTTCCTGGTTCTCCAGGAGCTTCTTCAAAGTGTCCTCAATGGAGTGAGGAATCTGAGCAGGCTGAGGTGCTGACTGGGTCTGAATGGTGGAAGACAGTGTGGACAACTTGGATGTCGCAGCTGACATCCAGTTGTTCAAGCTAGCCAATGTCTGGCTCAACTGATGGGCAGTGAAGGGATGAGTCCTGGAAGAAGGCACTCCCGGGCCAGCTGAAGTACTGGGACCAGCAGTAGAAGAAGGTCCTGGAGGTAAGTCCTCAACTGTAGTTGCAACAAGTATGGTGGAAGGCTCGGTAGAAGGCTCTACCGCAACTAGCTCCTCAGACTGGCCAGTTGGGGCAGAGGCAGGTGGCTGGTAGTTCTTGGACTTAGGGTTGTCCGGACCCTGCATACTGTACCAAGAATAGGGAGCCACAGGCTTGGTCTTGACATCATATCTTTTCTTCTCCACCTCCATGTCCCGGAAATATATTGAAAGGGTGTTGGGAAAAGGATAATTCTGGTCATGCTCTTTCCCCACAGTAGAAATCACACGGGACATCACATTGCCCACATTGATAGGGTACCCGGCCATAATAGATGCAACAAGAACCGCCCGGGTAAGTGGAATAGTCTGATCGTGGGTAGAAGGGTCAAGCCGACTGAATACAAATGTCAACCACCCTCGAGCCTTAAAGTTGAAGGTCTTCCGGAATATTTTCTTCCCTACTTGCAACCACTCTGGCACAGTACCTGGGATTGCCAAGTACTAGGCCAACCAAGGACGGACTTCCTCATTCATTGATAACTTTGCCAGATAAAGTGACTCATCTTCATCACGGAACCCCAAATACTCATTTAAAGATTTTCCATCAAACAACACTGTTTTATCTCGAACTTTGGTCAGCTTGGTAGCTTTGACAACGTGAGCTACATTAGAGTAGAACTCCCTGACCATGTGCTTATTAGCATCGATGCACTTCTCTATGAAAAACTCCCATCCCCATCTAGTTCTGAACTCCCTCTGCACGTTCAGGTTCTGGGGTAAAAGGTAAGTGTCAATAAAACTCCTCTCCGGTATCAACTTCCTCACCGGCCACCCCTCCCTAAACTTGTGAAATGCCACTTGACTGACAAATCGATCTTCCCAAACATCAGGTTTTCTAGTTGGTTCAATACCCCAATCTGAGGCTCACCTCCCTCATCTCTACCTGCACTCTCCCCAGATAATGAAGCTGTGGGGGAGGTGGAGTATTGCCCACTACCGGTTGCAGACTCGTCAGAAGAATCCGAGACTACATTCACTGGTCTTTTGGAGGTGGGTAATGGTGGAGGGGTATCAACTAGGTGGAGGGGGTCGGTTATATGAGTTGGGACTGAATAGGAGGAGATGTCTTTGGAGGGCACATACTCACTCCCCGACGAATGAGAAGCAGACTTGTCAGCAGCTCTTATCAATTTCTGGGTCTTTTTTATGTTCTCCCGAGCCTGGGGAGTGAGCTTTGCAATTCTCTTACCCTTACCCCCTCGGGAGGAACCACCTCTCTCGGGTTGTTGGGATTGTTTGGCGCCCCTTTGTTTAACCATTATCTGCAAAGATAAGCATCTAACATTGTTAGTTTAAGCACATGCAGTGAAACAGGTGAATGAAATAGATTGCAGAGATAATTTCAGTACACAGTTGCGGAACAGGTTGCAGAACATAGCACCGCAGACCGCACAAAAATGCAACGCGGCCGCGGTGGGCCAGCGTGGACCGCACAAACAGCAATGCGGCCGCGCTGGAGACATTTAACTTGCAATCACAAGCACCGCGGTCTGTACAAAAATGCAACGCGGACTGCATCAGGGTAGCGCGGTCGCGCAAAGGCGACCATGGTCCGCGCTGAGCTAGGGTTTACGGGCACTAAGTTAGGGTTGCATTTTTGCCATTGTTGTTCAAGTTTTTACACTTACTTTGTCCCTACTCAGTTCACCTGTAACGACCCGACCGGTCGTTTTGAGCCCTAGCACTCCGTTCAGCAGCCTGAGGCCGTGAGCAGCTTCATTTTCGGTATTATGACTTGTGCGCGTGGTCGGAATCGAGTTTTGGGAAGTCCAGAGTTGAATTGGCAGGAGAATCCTCATTTCGGAAGCTTAAAGTTGAAAGAATGAACTAGAATTGGATTTTTGAGTAGACGACCCCGGAATCGGTATCTGAAGGTTCCAGCAGATTCGTACGATGATTTTGAACTTGGGCTTGTGCCCTGTTCGGGCTTCGGATAACCCGGGAGCGTTTTGGCGCCTATTGTGGAAGTTAGAATTTTAGAAGAAATTTCATAAGTTTGGCTTGAAGTGCATTTCAGTATTATCGATGTCTGTTTGGGATTCTGAGACTGTGAATAGCTCCGTATGGTGATTCCGGAGTTGGGGGCGCGACCGGAAGTGAATTCGGAGGTCTGTGGGTCATTTTGAAACCATTTGGCTAAAGATAGAAATTTTAAGGTTTTTGAGAAGTTTGACCGGAGGTGGACTTTTTGATATTGGGGTCGGAATCAAATTCCGAAAGTTGGAGTAGGTCCGTAATGTCGAATATGACTTGTACGCAAAATTTGAGGTCAATCGGACATGATTTGATAGGTTTAAACATCGGAAATAGAAGTTTAAATTTTTAGAGTTCAATAGGTTTGGATTGGAAGTCGATTCATGATTTTAGCGTTGTTTGATGTGATTTGAGGCCTCGAGAAAGTCCGTAATTTGTTTTGGGATTGGTTGGTATGTTTGGTTGGGGTCCCGGGGGCCTCGAGTGCATTCCGGGTGGTTAACGGATCGAAATTGCGATTTTTGGACAGCTGAAGGATCTGGTTGCTGGTATTTTCGCTTTTGCGGTGGGTTAAACGCAGAAGCGGCCCCACAGAAGCGAAAAAGGAGCCGCAGAAGCGATTTTTGGTCAAGGGCTCGAGGATCGCAGATGCGGTCAAGGTTCCACATAAGCGGGACAGCATCTGCGGAAAGGTGGTCGCAGAAGCGGAAGTGAGCGACTGGGAGTGGACCGCAGATGCGGTCAGAGTTCCGCAGAAGCGAGACCGCATCTACGGAAGGCATATCGCAGAAGCGAAAGAGGGCGGCCTAGGGAGGACCGCAAATGCGGCATTTTAACCGCACCTGCGGAACCGCAGAAGCGGTCAAGGGACCGCAGGTGCGGAAACAGCTGAGGCAGTGAGGTCTTTTAAAATTCGGGGTTGAGTTCATTTCAACCCCATTTTCTTCCATTGGAGTCGATGGGGAGCAGCTTTGAGGTGCCATTTTCGTCACTCATCATGAGGTAAGTAATTTATGCTAGCTTTGAGTTAAATACAAAGTCTATACATGGATTTAGGCAAGGAAATTATGGAAAAATTTAGGTTTTGGTGGAAACCTTGAAATCGGCATTTCTTCGAATTTGACCACGATATTGAGTATGAAATTTAGTGAATATTATATATTCGAGTTCCTAAGGTCATGGGTAATCTTTATCTTCAAAAAAATTTCGGATTCCGGGCATGTGGGCACGAGGGCGTTTTGGTCAACATTTCGATCGGAGTTAGGAATTGCTATAAATTAGATTGTAACGAATATTTGAGCATATATTAATGGATTTGCGTAACCGTTGGCTAGTTTTGGAGCGTGGTGCATCAATTAGAGTCTTCGGAAAGGCGTAGAATGCCGGTTATGGATCTTCGGAGCGAGGTGAGTCTCCTTTCTAACCTTGTAAGAGGGAAATGTCCCCATAGGTGAACTAGTTGGATAGTTGCTCCTATTTGCGGGGGCTACGTACGCACGAGGTGACGAGAGTCCGTACATAGCTACTATTATGCTATTGTCCGGTAGTCTAGGACCTAAAAGTATGCTATACTTGGATTACTTGCGATCTTATTGACAGTTTGAATTGCATAAATCATATTGAATTAGTAATTAAATATCTAAAAGGATTAAACTTCATTTTTCTTAAATGGTTAAAAGGGGAATTACTTTCTTTGGATAATTGCTCCGTGTGGACTCCTGATTGACTGTCTGTGTGTGCTTAAATTTTGGAGCGAGCCGAACGCCTCGGCAGATTAAATAGGTGCATCTATGGTTCGTGCCGTTCGACCCTCGGTAGTGCACAGTTTACATTTCTATTGGAGCGGGCCGTCGACCTCGGCATGATATGCGCATGCTTGTATTGCTGCCTTGAACTCAATTAAGTTATTATTGCCTCTTCATGGCTTGAAATTATTTGGATAATTACGAAAAGGAAATTTTGCATAAAAGAATTAATTGTTTACTTGTCTCCTCCTATTTGGATAAAAATCATGTTATAGAAATCCATAATTTAGTGTATTACTGACCTCACTATTGGACCATTAGTAAGTGTCGAAGTCGACCATCTCGTCCCTACTTCTTCGAGGTTAGGCGGGATACTGATTGAGTACACGTTGTTTCCGTACTCATACTACACTTCTGTGCATTTTTTTGTTGCACAGGTATATGTAACCTTTGTGGCCTACTGGGCGTGGCAGCGCGGATGACTCTAGGACTAGGTGAGTTGCATTATTCGAGGCGACCCGCAGCTAGTATAGTCCCCTCCCAGTGTATTGTATTATTTCTTGTCCACTGTATTTCGGACGGATGTTGTATTTTATTTCCTTATCTATAGATGCTCATGCATTTGTGACACCAGGTTCTGGGATGGTTGTGACATATTTTGTATTGATTAATTATTATTTAATTAGATTTGAGACAATTATCTTTTAAATTGCTAAAGTTGAAGGAAAAATCCTAGTTTTTCAAAAGTAATAAAACGAGAATTTGATTAAGTAATTTGGTTGGCTTGCCTGACAGCAGTGTCCGGCGCCATCACGACCCTTGGTGGATTTTGGGTCGTGACAACATGGTATCAGAGCACTAGGTTCCTAGGGTCTCACGAGTCATGAGCAAGTCTCGTAGAGTCTCGCGGATCGGTACGGAGACAACTGTACTTATCCTCGGGAGGCTGCAGGACTGTTAGGAGTACTTCCCTTCTTGATTCCTTATCGTGCGATTTGATCCCTGGAGGCGTATGCCTTTAATTCATTCCTACTCAATCTTACGCGACGCAAAGCGCTTGTCATAAATCGAGAATTGAAGAATCATAATGGTACTACGGATGTGGTGCGGGATGTTTCTCCCGGTGTGGTTGATTTGATTATTATCGTCGCCTTATGGAAGGATATTTTAATGTTTTAGCTCAGTAACGGTACTTCTGAGGGCTTTGAAGCTAGGAACAAGTTGCCATGATGCATATGAATGACTGTTCCGCAATAGTGATATGACGGTAGGGTGTTGCCCACGTGTCGGGGCAGTGAATGACTTGAAGGGGGGTTTACTCGGTGCTTAATCAAGAGATTCAATATTTTTTTCCCGGCAGGGGAAAGGCAAGCGGACCAAGGATGGTCAGATGCGGGCTGGTGGAAGTAATGAGACTTGGTATTTGCAAGCGTGGTGGAGCCTCCTTCTATGATGGGGTGTCGTTGTCCTAATTGAACGTACTAAGTTTGTCGGTGTTATGACCTTCTACAATTCGCCTTTAGGGAAAGCTATTGTTAAATAGTATTGAAAATGCGCTGTCAGATATCGCAGGGTGCGGTAGTTCAGGATTGAATCGGTGTTTCTAATGTCGATGGTATGAGAAAGATGATCTTCCGCAAGGCGCAAAGTTAGCAGCAATGGTGGTTCAAGCGCCACGAAGATAGATTTTATTTACGGCAACAACTGAGCAGCAAAGGATGAGGATAGACATGTGGGAAGTGTCAGGCGGTGGCAAAAGATTTCTAGAAGGCCGAGTATAAGGGGCCAAGGGTCGAGTAGTCGATTAAAGGGATGAGTTTCGCCAAAGTGGGAGAGAGGTGGAGTCGCATATGGGCATTGTGGTAGGATGACTATGCACCTTGATAAGAGTTTGGAGTGATTTGGGAATTTTGGTGATTGGTGGTTTGGGCCTACGGATTAATTTGGAGTATGGGCTATTATGCGGCAGGAGATTTGATATAACGGGAAGGAGCTGCTTGAATAAAGAAGGATGCAACATAACTTTGAACTTGGAAGATGCTGCCGCACGTTTAATGGATGTCCACGAGGGGTGAATGGACTTGTGCAGCTGGAGAGTGAACTAGGACTCTGGACGAGTTATTGATGTCGTAGTAATTGTACCCCATGTAGCAGCGCTGGAAGATGTCGGGAGTGATTTCTACAGGTAGTTCATCCCTGTGAGCAGGTTAGCAATCGTGTGGTTGGCGAGCTTCTGCGAAGAATTCTATTGGTTATACAGCAAAGGGATCGGTCGTGCGAATGTTGTTGATGATTCTGAGTAAAAAGAGGGGGTTTCTACAGTAAGATATCGAGCATGTTGGCAGTTGATTGCGCAAGGTTATGTCAATAAGAGAATAAGAATCCTTTACATTCCAGAGTTGTGTAATAGTGGCTTCGAGCTGAGTGGGAGAGTCCCAACGCCTATGATGGGGTTGCACGGTTAATTACTTGCGAGGTTTCTGGTTATTAGCATATTTATGGGCTATTTCAGCTATGGGAAAAGACCATAAGGGGTAATTTGA